CCCCCCCCCCCCCCCATGATCCCCTATTTTCTCGAGCAATGTACCCGATTATTGGTTTGTACATTTCTCGCGAAGGACGACATGCTGCAACTGTATGACAGACAAAACAGTGTCTGCGGTCCCAACGTTTCTTCCCTCTGCCGCGGTATCGCCCTCGCACCACGCAAGACACAACGCGCACACACCTGGTTGACGAGCTTCTGCATGTTTGACAGGTCTTCCTCCGAGGTGAGCTCCTGCTGATGCTGGTGGCAGTACCATGACACCACCTCTCCCCAAGGCAGCCCACCTGCCACACACACACACCGCCCCCCAAGAAAACTGAGATCCAAGATGAAAATGCCAGAAAACAAAAATGGTACAGCAGCATGCCCCCGATACTGGAAAAACGTGAGGTTCCTCGCACTCCTGCTACTACAAGCGCTTTCTGGTTCTGGTGGCCATGGCCTGGTAAGAACAAAGCACCACGAAGGCACTCCTCACACTATCAGGAGAATTAGAACATCAATCAAGAGAAACATGCCACCTGCACACACACTCCGTACGTCCGTGGGATACACATGCAGCGATTGTCTCCTCGTGTCAGTGCACGTCACTCACCCCCCTCCCCTTCCTTGGCTCGGTCCTCCCTCTGCCGAAGGTACGTCGCCAGCGTCGTGGTAATCGTCTGGGCGCCGCGTCAACACGCGAGACAATCAGGACCATGGTTTCGGGGGTGGTGTTTAGTTGGTGTGCATGGGCGGTTGAGAAAGACGACCGTGGGAGGCGAGGCAGCCAGCGACACAAAGTCGATGAACGTGGTGAGATCTCCTGACCTTCGGAAAGTTGGTCGATCGACGAAACGGAGCCGGCGTGCATACACATACACTTGCACCACACAAACATTTAAGACCCTCGCGCGTGCGCGTGTGCATCCACACCTGGTACTGCTCGAAGGTGATCTGCTGCTTCTGCTTTTTCTTCTTCTTCTTCTTCTTCTTCTTCTTCTTATTGGCCTTCTTGCTAGCCCGCTCAGAGCCGCCGTCCTCGTCCACCACCCCGTCGTCGTCTTCGTCGTCTTCGTCGTCGTCGTCGTCGTCGTCGCCCCCGCCGCCGTCACTACCACCATCCTCGCCGTCGCCTTCTTTCTCCCCTCCTGTTCGGCCACGCCTCCGCTTCCCACTCCTTCTCGAGACCTTTCCGCCGCCCCTCCCACCGCCGCCGCCCCCGCCGTCATCATCCCCGCCATCGGCATCTCTGCTCCCTCCGTTGCCGCCGCCACCCCCGCCCGGGCCGTCCTCCTCGTCGCCATCTCCCCGTGGTGCCCCTACCCCTTCGTCTCCTTCCTCCAAACCCTCCTCATCTTCGCTCTCCTCGAGAATGATGTCCTCCGCCTCCACGTGGATGATGGACTTTCGGAGCAAGCGGAACGCTTCTTTCACGTAGCGGGGCCGCACCTGGTCGTTCGCACAGACACACATACCAGACACACGACACATAAAATTCACAATTTCGACGTGGCAGCAAAAACAACAATCACTTCGTCCAAGAGCTCCATTGGGCATTCTTCAAAACTACCGTTCATTCAGCGAGCGGGGCGCGCGTTCCTGTCTTGTCACACGCCACGGCTAATTCGGATACAACCCTGGATTCACTGCTTTTCTTGTTGCGGCTGTGACGCCAATAACACCGACACAAACTCAAAACGAAGCCGTGAGTCAAGCATTTCGCCAAAGATAAGGTGCTGCGAGTGTGTGGAGGGGGGTGGGGTCGGGGCTCACCTGGTCGTCCAGGTGTAGCCTCGCCAGCGCCTCGCTGAGGCGGATCATGGACTCCAGCTGCCTCACGGTGATACGGTAAGCCGTCTATGGTTTCCGTTTGGTGATGAGGTCGGACGGGCAGAGAGAACAACCGCGTGGTCGAACGAGATTGATTCCGCGGAATTCCGAAAGGTTCACGAGAGATGGGGGTACGGGGGCGGGTGGGGTGATTGTTGAGCAACGCCTCCTCGCGGGTGAGATTATTTCCAGTCAACGAGGAATGATAGGCTTTGCACGAGAATAGGTGGTATCTTTCAGGCAAAAGGAGCATATGGTACATACCCACGACTTTGACAAGACACAAATCTCCCCAATAGAAACCCCCAAGATGCAAGCATTCCTTCTGCAACTAACTAATGCGCGAGATTCCTCCTCGTCACGGACATGAGCAACAAGACACACAAAGCGGCGCAAGATCGCTTCTTTTTCTGTGAAGAATCCCTTACACACAGGACACTATCAGCAAACTCCTGTTTCCCCCTGTCGGTAGAACCCATGATTTGAAAGTGTTCGTGTTTTTTATCCCTCTACAAAACTGAACCTTTTCATTGGTCAGCCTAATTGGTCAGCCGGCTAGGGCGGTCGATGCTAACGAAGAATCCACACGCACATACCTTGTTGCGGCCAACACAGTCGTTCTCCCTGAGGGCCCGGTAGCACTCCACCATCGTCTTACGCCCCTCCGGGGTGATGGCCGGGTTGAGCCTCCGAGCGAAGCGGATGTAGCGCTGCATTTGCATCGCCGTGAAGGGAGGGTCCAGGGCCTGCGCTTGCGTGCGTACGCAGAGTTGGACGAACGAGGACGGTCGTAGTGGCGTGCACACATACTCGGGTTAGCTGCACGCCTTCGAAAGGGATTGAAGTTGGACAGGGTGCCGCTCGGGAACCAAATGGTATTCCTCTGCAACAGGGACTGTAAACCAAATGGGGGAGCGCGAGGGGATAGAGCGAGCTTCCTGGGGGGGGGGGGGGGGGGGG